CGGCCGAATGTAAACAGATAGGGCAAGCTAGCTGTGACATCACCGCTGTCTCCACCTAGCTATTGACATTTGATCGGCACCTGTCAAATTGCTATTGAAAGGTCCCGACCGAATGACAACAAATGGCCAATTTGTTGTCATGCAATGACAGGATCATTTTTTTACATTTAATAATCAAAGGAAATATTTACATTTTGATTTAACCCTGTAGTGAATGAGTAGAGGTACAAGTACCCCTTACTCATTCACAAGGGGGGCAGCATCTGGGTGCCCCCTTTATTAAAGGGAGTAGCCCAATGCAAATAAGCCCCCCCTGGCCACAGACATTGACATGGGGACAAGGTGCTTTTCCAGGGGGGACCCCTGTTGTCTCTCTTGGCAATTCCTACATCACTATAAGAGTCAATAATGAAGTAGGGGCTAGTGAGAAAAAGTAAACATCACATCCAAAATTGTCAGCAGCACCAAAGCTCTTCAAAAGATCAAAGATTCATCACAATGTCCAATGCCTAGAAACGTTTCAGTGTAAATCACAGATTCTTCTAACAACCATTAGAATATAATAACCTTGTTAGTAGCAATACGCAGCACATATTAATCTTAAGGGGACTTTTATAGTTGCAAACAGGCAGTGAAGAAAGCATTGTTATTAACAAACACATGTTTTATTCTATTTAATTTTAACTTTGTTTTCCAAGATTTAAGTTTGCATAGTTATGATTGGTCTTGATTATATCTCTAATCTATCTATTTAAATAGTGGTTACTAAAATAATATTGGGCCTTTAAGATTTTGGTGTGAATTCTCATTTTCATTATGTTATCTAGCTGGAAAAGCCAGTGGAGTAGAGGCAGAAAGAGGAACAGCAGGTTACATATTGCAGATGGTGTGTTGTGAAACTTAGGCTACAATACAGTATATACAGATGACTGTGGAAGCTTATGCTAGCTGAGGGAATCCACTTCTGAGAGTGCTGTTTTACGTAAACTCTTCTTTTGCTTCAGTTTGGAAATAGAGTTACCTCTCCTTTAAAACAAGAGACCTGATTCAAAAATCTGTTGTAGCACTCACCCCTGAAGAAGCCGCTGGAAAAATTTAGGATCCTTCTACCGGTTTTTCAGTTACCAGCCCTTTTTCATCACTGCTTGAGCAACACTGACACTTCTAAATAGAACAGGCTCAAAGCATAGGGTCTTTTTAATATTTGTTGTTCAGTAGTAAACTCAGGAGAGAGGGTTAGAGTTTACGGTAGGGATGCACCGATACTGTTGTTTATATGTCGGTACTTGCCGATACTGAGTACTGATACTTGTACTTCTGCTAGCTTGGAGCTGGCTTCCCAAGCAATCAGGAAGCCAGGCAGCCTCCATGCTGATAGGCCAGGTAGCCGGCTTCCCAGCCAGTCCGCATGGAGCTGGCTTCCCTGCTAATTAGGAAGTTGGGAGGAGGGTCATTACCTCCCGACCGGCTTCCTGATTGGCTGGGAAGCTGGCTCCATGCTGTTTGGCCAGCCCAATGCTGATTGGCTTGGAAACCCCTCCCTGGCCCATCATCATGGAGCTCGGGTTCCCGGCCAATCTGGAAGCTCTCTCCATGCCAATCAGCATTGAGCCGGCCACACAGCATCGAGCCGGCCACCCGCCAATCAGGAAGCCAGGCAGTGAGTCATTACCCACCGCTCAGCTTCCTGATTGGCCATGAAGTCGGCCCCATGTTCCCTCATGGCACTGCCATTCCGGTATCAGGGGTAAGTATCGGAGCATTCGGGCAGCATGAGTACTCACCCAAATACTCAGTATCGGCATCAATAACGATACTAGTATTGGTATCGGTGCATCCCTAGTTTATGGATACCCAAAGAGGAAAAATGGAGGACAGTGTGCCCACTAGTAGCAACAGCAAAATACCAACAGGTCCTATGAGAGCAACCAAAATAGTTTCTTGCAACATAGAGTAGCCAGGATAGATTTATGACTCCTTCAGAGCAGTCAGAATACTTATGGGGCACTCACTGGCTTCTTCTTTTCTGTATAGTACCTGAGCTCAGGGTGAGGAGTCTCTCCTACGGGATCCAGATGTCACTCTCACCAGCTCCTCTGCAACACTCCTCAGTAAGCAGATCCTTCCTCCAGCCCAGCTTCCTTCAGGTTTCTTTCCAGTAGCATCTTAGGCCTCTTAGCCCCCAGCACCTGCCACATGCTGAGGCCCAGGCCAAACATCTTGCAAACACACAGGCCTTCTCCCAGTGAGAAGCTCCAGGGGAGAGAGACTTCTGGAAAATTGTTGCATATACAGTACATGCATATTCATAATCTGGCAATTGATTCTTTCCACACTGTATGCTGGAGCTCATCCCAGCAACAGGGGGAAACAATTAATCTACCAGGTTTACTGAAAACCTTCAGAACACAGAATAATCAACCTCCAGACTGACAACAGTCAGTGGCGTCACAAGGAAGATTCGGGGGGTGCTCCCCGGACCCAGGTGTCACCATTGCAGGGTTGACACCAAAATGACTCACCCCCTCTAAAAAGTTGGGCACTCGGTCATGGACCGAGAGTCCGACAGTGTCAGCAAAGAGAAGGGGACCCGGCGGCATACCTCACCCTGCCAGGTGAACGTCCCCTCCTCTCTCTGCCTGCGTCCATCACCAAGATGGTCGCCGGCAGGCGTCAATCAGATGGTCGTGCACGCGCGATGATGACACGGCGGGGTGTCACTCGGTCTAGACACCCCTGACAGAAGTAAATGCACTAAATTTTGTAGCGGCACAACTAAAAGTGACAGGGGTGCTACACTGTGGTAACACATAACTAATGTGGAAATGTCAAACAATATTACCACATGGGAAATTATCAGTTGGTTAATCAAAGAGTAGAACATTTATTAGGCCACATTTTCATTCTAATTTGCACTCATGATTTATAAAGGTTTTTCAGTCTGTGAAACATGAAACCTAACTGTAAATATCACATTTTGTTTTCCACCTGTCCTGAGAAAGGAAACCAATAATATTTGATTATCTGGCAGTGTTACTGTCATATTACATGAGCACTAAGAAACTTAAAACGTATGCTTTAAGAGGGGGTTCCTAAAGAGAAGGGTTACACAATGTAACCATGGACCAATTTACATGCATGTGAGCTGTTGCAGTGCATTAAGGAGAATTAAATTGTGTTGTGTTAAGGGGGCCCATTAAAAATAAATGGGCTGACAATGTACCACAATGGATGAAAAAACACACTTGACCCTTCTTTAGCATATCAGCATACCACAACACACCCAATGTGTGTTGTGGCTTATTGCATTCAGTGGTGTACTTTGGTTTTGTGCTGCCCTAGGCAGGACTAAACTCAGGCACCCTTCTCAATCTAAATTTGCCCAACCCCTTTCTGTTTAAAGCACATTGTGTAACCTATCAGCTGTGTCCAGCCTCTAACATGTTGCGCTATTAGCGTAGTGGGGAAGCCCGCTCTGAATTTTGCTTATCCTGTCAGAAGCTGGACACAGTGGGTGCCTGTTTAAACTGTACCCAGGCACACACTGTATCACTTCTGCCAGTGTTGGAGAGAGAAGTTGGATTAGGGTAAGAATACTTTTTTTTCTCTTAATTGCTCTACCTCATTAGTTTGGGAGTGGTGTATTTTGCTGCCCCCCTAGAAAGTGCCGCCCAAGGCAAATGCATAGTTTGCCTTGTGGTAGATACACCTCTGGTTGCAGTCCGTTTTGCATTAAGTTTTACTGTACAGTGCATTGGAGTGCCATTTACAATAAAGGCAATACAACACACCGCAAATAGAGCAGGTGCACTGCAGGAAAAAGTAGTGTGAAAGTAACAGCATGGAAATTGCCATGATTCCCTGCATCATTCTTATTTCTAAACCTTATTTATTACTGTTTCAATTAATGTCTAGCTGGAGGCCAACAAAGTACCACAAGGAGCTACATTTCTCCAGGTTGGGCTTATGCTAGAAAACACAGAAGTAGGATATTTTGAACATTTTGATAATTATTTGGTAAAGGATTGGAAGGTTTTGTCTTAGTTTGACAAAATTTATTGTAATACAATGGTGTGGGTTTTTTTAATGACTACATTATAAGATCACAGAATGTAGGAGATAACAACATATCTTTATACCCCATGGAAACATATGCTGCACAAAAACCCCTACTCCACATGATCAGCACTAAAGATAGTGAATAATATGTTAGTTAACATAATTTATACCAATTTCTATTCTTACCCTTGTACATTTGTAAACAGTTTTGCAGATGTTCATATGTGTGTTCAATGCAGGGAGCACAAAAATATTAAAATAAAACTGAATACAACTATTAGACTGCTCATACACATAAAACACAACCATTTCAAAGTTTTGCAAAATACAACAGGGGTTTGGGCTCATCCATATGTTGTGTTAGTTTCAAAATGTTGTGCAATAAGTGATAAAGTCATGCAAAATGCTGAAAGTCTCCATTAAAGAAGAACTTCAGCTAAACAAAACACTTACCCTTGCCATGGGGCTACTGCCGCACTGCAAGAGTTAAGTGGTTGTTTTGTCTAGGGGACTCAAATAAAGCTCAAATAAAGCTGTTTTACTTACTTGATCCTGTTTCCCTCCAGGCTGCTAGACCAGTCTCCATCTTCTCCCCTTTGCTCTGGCAGTCTAAGGACTGTTATTGTCATCATGTCTTATGCAGGTCCATAGACATGCATTACATATGAGGATGCTGAGAGCCATTCCATAGCAGAAGTGTAAGGGGAGAGAGTCGAGTGCTCACTGCCACAGGAGTCTGGATCAGGTGAGTAAATTAGCTGTATTTAACTCTCCTATACAAAATAAGCACTTAACCTTTGCAGTGTGGGCAGCAGCCCCACTGCAAGATTACGTTTTTCTTTGCCTGGAGCTTTTTTTTAAGTTTTAGGAGTTGATTTTAGACCTAAGTTGGCTCAGAACATGGAGACCTGTATAACACCATGCAGTTTGGTACTTCTCACCTAGAAAAGCAGATGGAGAAACGGTGCCATTGCTACGTGATACCATAACACTAATTCCAGTTTCGACAAATGGAACTGAAAAATCAACAACCTCTGAACGCTCTTCATTGATTGTGAGTGAACCCACTGCCATAACTGCTCGTTTGTAAACCACCTGGTCCATTAATGACAATGCAGAAAAGAGAAAAGGCAAAAATGTCAGTTAATGTCACTAGAATTGGAAAATGGTAGACTTCTATTAACAAGTTCTTACTAAAGAGTTCTTTTACCTAACAGAACTTACTTCACCAATCATTCCATTCCAAACGTTATTGATTTTTTTTCCATGCTTCCCATTAGTTACGAGATAAAGGTCATATGTGAATTTCACAGTACTTGATAGTTTCTTCAAGATATCTATGCAGAATCCTTTACAACATTTTTTCACATATGTCCCCTCAGTCGTTGAATTGCTGCAACAAGCAGAACATATTCATACAATAACATTAATATTTTAAGCATTTGTTTAAGATAAGACCGTGTATAAGGGTGCAACTTTGGCTATAATCCTCTACATTGCCATTATGGTGCTAAAGGCCATGGAGACTGATTTAAAGCTATAACTACAATATAAAGCTCAGAAGCAGCTACTCAGTGTTTACATGTTGGTATGGGTGATACTGATGTGTAAAACAATGAAAAAAAACCACCATCACAATTATGCCTGACTGAGCACAGCGGTTGTCCAGGTTTTGTTAAAGGGTCTGTTGACTAACCATTTTACATAGAATAAACAAAATATGTGGCTAAAAGTGATGTTGTCATGAGGAAATTCCTGGGGAAATGATTACTGGCCTTCTGAAGAAAATGTTAGTTGCCTGGTTATGTTTGTTTGACCCCTAGTGTTGCCCGTTTTGCACTTTCCTGCTGTAAACTAATTGTATAGTTAAAAGATTATGGATTCTTGGTTTTTTATTTGGTGCTTTAGACTGCACACACTAAATAAGTCACAGACACAGGACAAGTATGTTGTAAATAAGTGTCAGATTTCTTTCCTCTATACTTGATCTGGTGCTGAATCCAAAGCTTCAACATGGTAGCCAGGAAAGAAATATTGTCAAATGGAGAGTTCAGCAATGGCAGACTCCATTATTCTCACAGTTCCATTAAAAAAATAATGTGTTTAGGGGCAGAGTTTGCTGATAGTCGCAAGCATATTTGTCTGCTGAGAGCTCCACCTCACCACCGCATTCTGTTTTTTGCTGCTTCTACCAGCCTATTATTACACTAGACTGCTGACAGGAGTTTACCTCTTTAATGAAACATGGAAATGCTTATTCCTCTTCTACTCAGAGAACAAAAGGCCACACAGTATTGCACAAACTTAGTTTTGCAGGTTTTTTTCCGTTTTTTGTTTTTACTGTTCAACCTACAAGTCTTGCGCGTAATCGGCCACCAGACATTGGCACCTTAAGTTGACAACCCCAGAGTTTCCTCCCCTATACGTTGGTCTGGCTGGTTGTAAGTACTGTTTTATCCCCATGGTTCTAACTCAAGAAATGCCTATAGAGCTATCCCATAGCTATGGGAATTATGATGTTCCTCACCTTGGTCAATTAACCCCTTGACCTGGGCCAACTTTGCTTTCATGTATATAGCTTACCTGTCATTCATCACCTACACTACCTGCCTTAATGGGGTCAGGTGGCTGTGGGGGGGTTTCCTGGTATTATTATATGTTCACTGTACATTGTTGACTCTTTAACCTGCCACATCTTTGTGATTCAGGTTGCTAGATTCATATTTGTGAATCGCCTAACTCAGGGCTCAAAATTTCAAGTCCTGATCTACTAGCCAGGCCTTAAAAGTTACTCGCCACCAGTTGCCCCACCTAACCCCTACCTTGACCCGACCTTAACTCCGCCCTAAATTATTATGAACACCCCCTCCTAAATTATCTTATGAAATTCCAGAATTACACCAGTTATAGATGACTACAACTCCCAGCTGCACTTTATACAGAAAAGCGGAATGATATCATCTATAGAGGACTACAACTCCCAGCTACACTTTAAACAGAAAGGCGGAATGATATCGTCTATAGAGGACTACAACTCCCAGCTACACTTTATACAGAAAGGCGGAATGATAGCGTCTATAGAGGACTACAACTCCCAGCTACACTTTATACAGAAAGGCGGAATTATATCGTCTATAGAGGACTATAACTCCCAGCTACATTTATACAGAAAGGCGGAATGATATCGTCTATAGAGGACTACAATTTCCAGCTACACTTTATACAGAGAAACCTAATCACCATATAGAAAAAAAGTAAAGAACTGCCCCAACTTCCTATGACATCAGTAGGATGTCACATTCCCGCCAGATAATTAAAAAAAAAATATAAACCATCAAGAAAGTGAATGTTTTTCAACTATCCAAACGAATAGACTGGAGTACCTGCTTGCAGAGATCAAATGACGTCCATGACCCTTTGCAGATCAACCTCCCCCTCCTGAAATAGCAGTGTGGAGATCAAAGGAAGAATCACAGCACCCGGCCATTAGTTCAGGCCGACTTGTGCTGCCATGGGAACAGGGGCGCCTATAACTAGAGGGGCCACTACATTCCAGCTCATAGTCCCGTCTGCCTGCACATGTGCAGTAGAGAGCGGGTATCTATGGTGACAGGAGACGTTGGCTTATACGATACACAGACACGTCTCCTGTCACCAGTCTAAACAAAGGCACGATCGCGGAGCCGATAGTGGGAGGACAGAGCAGAAAGAAACTGAAGGTGCTAGAGGAGAGAAGGGAGAGAGCAGATAGATCTCGTGCCTGGCTCGCACTCACATTATTTCCACTCGCCAAATGCGAGCAGGCGAGTGGAAATTTTGAGCCCTGGCCTAACTCATTATTTTATGAGCCTGTGCTCTCCTGCGGATGATATCTCTTCACCTATCATGGGTTTTTCTGTTTCCCAATTAGTATATAAAAGTTTTTGTATTGAACCACTAATGAAAGTGAGACACCACACCCCCAAGTAGTACATGTATAAAAAGGAGGGGAAGAGATGGGGCTTTAAAAGTGTTGTATCCGGATAGCGCGGGACTAAATCACATATATGGATATTGTTATGAGTGTTATGTTTAGTTTATATGCAACTCTATGATTCATCTCTGTGGCACTTGTTTCCTGTGATGCGTTTCCTGTTCCTGTTCTGTCGGTTCTCTTCTAAGAACATGACTTCTGTACACTAACGGCTTATACTGTCATTATTACCACATAAAACATGGTGTCAGAAGTACTTGAATCTGCGCTGCTTCTACTCATGGGACGCTGAAAGCTTGCCAGTCTTGCAGTGAGAGGCCTTAGAGCTGAATGTGCCTCCTGTAGTGATTGCTAAAACCAGCACCATGGCAACTGGACACAGCATTCCACTACCTGAGACAATGAGGGTGAGTGGGGATTGCAGCAGTAACTGGGATAACTTCAGAGCTGAGTTTGAGGATTACTCCCTAGCAACAGGATTACATGAGAAGCCTGCAGCAGTGCAAGCAGCTACACTGAGGAGAGTTATGGGCAGTGAATGCCTTCATGTTTACAAGCATAATCTGAACCTCACAGAGGAGCAGAACAGTGACACTAAAGCCATCCTGGATGCATTAGAAGTTTTTTCAGACCTTCTAAAAATGTCATATATGAAAGATGATAAGTTACTTGAACCCTCTGTGATACAAGGGGTACTGGAAAAGTTAGGGTTTAAGAAGCAAGTGTTCAAGGCACAATATGACACATCTGCAAGAGATTTGCCTGAATTGAATATTGGGGAATGAATCCGTATGAAACCGCTGCCTGGAGATCGAACAAGTCATTGGAGAATGGGTACTTGTCTGCGAAAGGTTGCACCACACTCCTATCTTGTGGACATTGATCGAACTCTCTATCGTCGCAATCGTGTGGATCTGCGTGTGGCTGAAAAGCCTGATTCACATTATCCAGTTGACAGGCCAGACTCGCCTGGTAATGCAAGGGCAAACTCACCAATTGGTGGTAGGGAATTTACAGTGATGATGCCACAGACTATTGTTAATGACAGTCCAGAGCAAGCAGGTATATCGGACGGGAGTGAAGAGCAGAGCATGCCAGTAAGTGGTGAGAAGAGCCCAGTAACCTCGGAGAGGGCTAAGAAACACTTTATGCAACGAGGGCCAGTTTTCACCCGCAGTGGTAGACATTCACAACCACCCAAAAGACTTAACCTGTAAATATGTTATCACAAGGATTCATCCACATGTCACAATGATTATTTATTAAGAGGGAGATGTTATGAGTGTTATGTTTAGTTTATATGCAACTCTATGATTCATCTCTGTGGCACTTGTTTCCTGTGATGCGTTTCCTGTTCCTGTTCTGTGGGTTCTCTTCTAAGAACATGACTTCTGTACACTAACGGCTTATACTGTCATTATTACCACATAAAACAGATATTCATTCATTAATAAATTATTTTTATTTTTACAGTTTGTTTATTTGCAAAATACATAATTATTATATATATATATACACAATCAAATAAAAGAATAGGTCAGATAAAATTCATATTTTATCTGACCTACACATGTTTTAGGTTTCTTGACCTTTCTTCACGTTTGGGTGGTTTTAGTCCTAGATTTACACACATGGCTATCACATTGCAATGGGTTTGTGGTTATTATTATAATTATTACAATATCCTACCCATCCTTATTATTCACTTTTACACATATTTTTGAACGTCACCTCTACCGATATGCGAGGAGGAGGTGACGCCCTTCACTGGCTTCCTTTAACACTCTGTCATCCCACTGCACTGGGATGTACATCTCCCATTGCGTGCGGGATTGTGGGGCGGTGCCTGGTAGATCGGGGTGCCGCCCCATTGGACGGTTTGCCAAGGTGGGTGGAGACCCGGCGCTTTGGCGGGAACACCCACATATGAATATGCCATGGCGGCATTAGCGCACACCACTAGCCCGCCCGGGCTGCGCACGTCACACGCCGGATATCGAGCGGCGTGGTATGGTGTAGCATGGGAATCACTTGGAAAGGATGGAGGGTGCAGATGAACGGTTTTTCTGGGAGGAACTGTCCCTTCCTTTTGAGACATCTTCTAAATTTGTAGGTATATGTTCCAACCTATTAGGTATATATCTAGCAGCTCTAATTGTCTCCCCTATATATTTTAGGACAATACTACTAGTCTAACTTTATTAAAGTAAATGGAGAATCTCCAATGTGTTAAGGTTCAATTATACCTTGCACTGACATTAGGTATATAGACATATGGGTATTGCTAGCCTATATAGGGTAGCTCCTACACTTATTATGAGAGCTCTCATTTACTGTCACTATTACAGTTTTGGTTAATATTTTTCCACAGCAGTAGGCACAATGAGGACCATTTGATTCCCCCAACTGTCCGTCTGTCT